GGTTCATTTAACTGACCTTATTTTGCCAGTTTTCTTTAACAGTTTCTGGTCCAACAAAATGTCTCATTCATCTTCCTCCAGCGCACTGAAACCATCGAAGTCCTCCTCTTCAGTGTCGGAGTTAAACAAGCTCAGAAAAGCTGCGTCACACAGTGGTATCTGTTGTCCTCCAGGGCTAATGCTGGCTCTGAAGCTGTGGTGTCCTCTTCACGTAGCAATCCAGCCTTTCGGAACCCATTGGTGATGGTGGACTCATTCACTCTGCTCCACACTGTTAGGATCCACTGGCAGACATCAGGAAATGACACTCTTCGCATTCGGCCAGTTTTTGTGAATGATTTATCCCCGTCAGTCATCCAAGCCTCCCATTCAGCCCTGAGTGCTGCTTTAAATGCACGATTCACACTGATGTCCAACGGTTGCAAAAACTTTGTTGTACCTCCAGGAATAACAGCAGGAACTGAGTTTGTTTTCTTGATGGCTGCTTTCATCGAATCCGTGATGCTGGCCCGCATACTTTCCAATATCGTGTCTGTCGAAGATCCGTCATGCCGTGTCTGCTACTAGCTAAAACAAAATGGCGCTACACCTCCGGCAGCTAAGCTGGCAGTATGGTCGCTCGGCTGTCGAGCGGTCAACGTGCCGTCACATGGTTGTTCGGCGTTCGTTTTCGGACTGACTTTTCATAGTTACCCTGAGAAACCTCGAGCCTAGCTGCTGGGAAAGCCCTCCCGCTCCAGCGTACGTCACTGCATGGGATTCCTTCCCCGGGGAGTGCAATGCAGAAAAAAAAATGTCCGCTGCTCCTTACTCGACGTTTATCCACAAACTGGTCCTGGATTAAGCTCCAAAGTTTTTATCAGTCAGATTCCACTGTGAAAAATATCTGTTTTGTCCCCTTTTATGAGTTTTTGGCCATTGACTATCTTTAAATCGCTGCTTCCGGGTACAACAGTCGGCTCTGGAAGCGATCGCTTTTTTCTTCTTCTTTTTTCCTTTCTTTTTTTTGAAGCAAGTGGTTGAAGCAAATGCAGCATAAGAGCCCCCTGGTGGCTGAAGAAAAAAATCCACGTATAAGCCGCACCGGACTATAAGCCGCATGGTTCAAAGTTCAGGAAAAAAGTCGCCGCTTATAGTCCGAAATTACGGTAATTCATTTCCCATAGATTTTCTAAAGCACTTTATTTTTTTTTTAAATTACAGCTTAAAATGTAAACTTTCAGCGATTTGCAGCGATTTATTCTTGCATTGCATTTTAGCCTCCAACTGCTTGTTAGTAGCTGTCAGCCAACTGTTTGGCTCCTCCACTCCTGAAGCACCTGAGAGTATAGAGCTAGCTCAAATGTTAGCATTTTGAATAAATATTAGCACAAAGTACTGATGGCTAAATCTGAGCAGATTAGAATGGCACCTTGAAAGCTGAGGTAGGATTGCCAACTGTCCCTTATTAGCCGGGATGTCCTGTATTTTCAGCTGAATTGAAGTGTATGGTACGAGGTGCTCTTTTCCTTGACTGCAGTCTGCTATCAGAACCGTCAATTAGGCCTGTCGCGATAGTCAATAAATCAATTAATTGCACGATAAATTTTTTTGAGGTCGGTAAAAAAAAATGAGGACGATAAGTTTCATTTTCCTGCTTGTT